TTTTGTTACTGGATTTCTTGTTATATTCTTTTAGATCAAAGCAGTATTAAGGAAAAAGATATTAAGAAGACTTTTTTCAAAATCAGTGCTGGTAACAGAAGTATGAAGTAATTTTTTGTATTATATATATAATGAAAATATGGATAATAAAAATTTATAAGAAAAAAACTTGTGACATTATAAACACAGTGATATACAAAAAAATGAAGATTGGATATAAAAAATTTATTCAGGATACTATTAATGATTATAATGTTCCTGCAATTCAAAATTATATCAAAAGAAATTATATAAAAATATATAACAATAGATATTATAGTTATGTTAATACTTTTTTTTATTTTTGCAAGTTACATCTACAAATCCATTGAAATCATATTATAATAAATTGAAAAGATTAATATCTTTATTACACGATTTAATTGATATGTTCATCTCTTTTTATTTATTTATTTACTTTCATTTTTTTCTATTATCTCACCCTTTTCTTTCTTTTGTTTCCTTATTTATTCTCTCCTTTTTGTTTTTGATATTTTATTTGTTTTGTTCTTTCTATTTTTTCTTTTATTTTCATTTTTTTCTTCTTTTCTTTTTCCCTCTCTTTTATTTAATTACTTATTTCAAATGCCATAAATAATATCATTAATATTGATTGCAAAAAGAGATCTGATTTTGAAATTGCAACATTTGATTTTTATACCAAAAAAATATTTATTTATGGTATGAATAATGATATTATCAAGAAAATCCACAAATTCCCTATTAAAAAGGCTTATATTATAATGGATTAAATTAAAAAAAATAATAATGTGTCAGGTCTATTCTCACTTAACTGTCACTATTTGTTCTGAAATTAATATTTACTATTGTGCAAATATATCTTTTACAAATATATTTATGAAAATATTAGATTATTAAATATTAATACATAGAAAATATTTCAAAAAATATTTGAAGAAAGTATCTATGAAACATATGAAAGTTGCAAATCAATAATAGAATTTGTATAAACAAAACAATTAAAAGAAACTAAAATAAATAAAATATTTATTATTATTTTTATTAATATTATTTATAATATTATATATTATCTATTATTATATTGTAGAAAACTTTTTATTATAAAATTAACTAAAAGAATTCATGATAAATATTAGAATGTTGAAAAGATAAATAATATTGAAAAAAAAGATACTTTTATTTTTATGCTAGAAGCTTCTCTAAATTCAATTATTTCAAACTTTGATAAATCAAATTAAAGAAATTAATTTTTTTTTTGTCTTGAATGCAAAGAAATTAATTAAATGAAATTTTATTTATTATATATTTCATAAAAATTGTTTTTCACATATATTATAGAAATATATCATAATTTTATATCACTTAAAATTAATTAAATTTCACTTAAATTTATTAGTTAAATTTTCGCTTAAATTTAAATTTTTAATAACTATTATTTCTAACCAATTACAATTGATAACCCACGGACCAATCATGATCATTGGAATTATCACATAATTTGTCTCCACTTTAGATAATCCCCTTTTTAGGAATTTATTTTCATATGCTAATTATACACGCTAATGCAAATCTTTTGGGTACTACTGTATATAAACTTTTTTATTCACTGATGTCATATTCACATAAAAAATAAATGATTAAGGTAAGATGCATTTGGCTTTATTCCATAATTATTATTATTATCCCTCAATCTTGGCACACTTTGACACACCTGCTTTTTATGGTAATTTTTATTAATAAAAGTGTGTAGATCCTTGTCAATTCTTGATGGAATGGCTGGCACACTTATTTTTAGACTTTGGCATACTCTATTTTTAGTAACATGTATATCATTTGTGATTAGAGGGATATCTATTTTTAGAACATATAAAACAATCATGTAAGTCAAATAAAATAAAAACATGTTTGATCTTGTTGACACGATCTTTTCACGTATCATATGTAGAATAAGATTATGTATATATAGGTATGCATTTCACACTTCGGCACACTATCTTTCTCTCTATTTCTGTTAAAAATGTCTTTTACTACATATAATCCTGCTATTGCATAGATCTTTACACTTAATAATCCTGAATAATAATTAGACCCAGAAACCATGCAAGATCTTTGATATATTATATGGCAAGAATAATATGGTCAGTCCAGTACATATTACTATCAAAGATATCTTGAATTATTTAAAAAAAAATGACTTGGCGATATTCGTTAACTTATTCAACACGCCTATTTTGAATCATGAAAGGGAACACATAACCAAGCTATTGAATATTACAAGAAAAAAGATTCTTAGGTTTGAGGTCCTTGGGAATGGGGAGAGTCACATGGTAAAGGTTATCATTCAGATTTAAAGAAAGCTTTTAATATGATAAAGAATGGTGCCAGCGAATGAGATCTTATAGAAAAAGACTTTGGTATGTGGGTTCATAATTATCGAACCTTTATTTAAACAAAACATCTACTCCTTCTATTATGAAAGTTCAAAACAAAAGTTATTGTTTTGTATAGTGCTATAGGATCCAGCAAGTCTTGATGATATCATCAAACCTTTCCTCAAGCATACTGGAAGCCTCGTGAACTTTGGTGAAAAGGTTACGAACAACAAGAAGTTGTAATTATCAATGACTTTTATAGATGGCTTCTGTTTGATTTTATGTTTCGTTTTCTTGATCGTTATCCATTAACTGTTGAAACGAAAGGTGGATCTGAGATTTTTAATTCAAAGATTATCGTTATTATATCCAATGTTCCACCTGATAGTTGGTATGATTTTTGTAACAATGAAAACATGTTATTTGAAGTATTAGATAAACATTTAGATACTATTGTCAATTATTGAGGTATATATTTTATTAATAACAGAGGTACTCCTAGTAGTTATGTCAGTAATATATTGTATTACGTGGGAATATGGAGTTTACTAGTGACGCGTGTAGTAGCCAATCATTTGTAAATAGTTTATAAATGTTGTTTTGATATAAATAAAGTAAATTACATGTCTTGTTTTGTATTACTTGATTTATATATAAATATATCTCCTGTTTGTTGATGCTCCTGCAAAATCCTTATGGCTTATTATCCTATATACTATTGTCGTAACTATGGACAGTACCGAAATTATCATTCACAATTTAATAAAAACTATCGGTATGATAATTATAAGCGTAGGTATGCTCGTTCATATTATTGGAAACATTTTAACTATCGTAGGCTATATTTTAATTGATATATGAGAAGAACATATAGGAAGAGGTTTAATCATAAAAGGTAAGTGTCATATTTGACTTATATAACAGGATTATGTATAATTCTTTATTGTGTTTTGATAGTATTTCGCTATATAGTTGATCGTATATGATAATGATGTTAGTCTTTCTGGTCAGACTGAATCATATGCTGTCCTATATAAACTTTTGGCTAATCTCTTACACATTTGTCAAAAGATATTATTCTAGGAAACAATATTTGAAAAAGGGATATATTCATAAGACTATTCTTGCTATGGAAGTTATTAATTCAAAGACTTTTGTCTTTCAGCCAATTGTCAAGAATTATGTAGCAGAACATTGATGGAATATTAATTCTATACTCCATTTATTGCTTGTCACTAATGCTTGTATTAGTATTGCACATAAAGTGTATATAAAAGGATTCAAGATTAATTTAATTCTTGCTAGAAATTCTTCAATCTGGATTCCTTCTCCTCAATATAATCAAGATTCAGAGTAGCTTTGGGATGTGGTGATAAAGATATGTGTAGCGGTATTGTCATCTACAGTTCCTTATATTAATTATCAAGTTGGTAAAGTTTTTAATGAGGTTCTTGCTGGACGTGCAGATCATAATTCAATGAAGGAAAAGTTTAATCGTAAGATACATGTAATAAAAGATTTTACTTTGTTTCTTAATTTTAATCGAACATTATATACATATAATTATGGTCCTGAAAATTGGAATCACATAGACTCGCATGGACTCACATATATATAAAAAACATAAGTGGATTATAATCCACCTATTAAATTTATTATAAGAGCTGGAATCGAATGGAATTGAACACAGAATCGTTAGGATCCTTACATATAATAAGTATATATCAGTTAATAGATATATCGATTATGAGATAGATCAAGGAAATATTGATTTATATGTAGCACGTATCATTTGTTACTTTATGGTATTTGTATATATTGAAGGGCCATCTGATGTATGTAAAATATAGAATGTCCAAGTTGTAATATCAGAAGTACAATATATTATATATTATGGTGCACATGTTCGTCAAACTAATGATGATGATATTACATATGTTGGTGATGATCCTAATGATAATAATTTCAATATTGATTATAATATGGAAAAAAATTTTGATTAAATAAAAAAAAAATAAATAAATATTATTTGATTTGTAATATAAACGAGGTTACCCTTAACAAATGTAATTATATAAAATGTGATATCTAGTATTGTTATTGAGTTACTGTGTGGAAGTGCCCCTTTATGTAGAGCATAAGTCAGTAAAAAGCTATACAACTGATACAGATTAAATTAACTGCCGGCTAGGCCATCATGAAGCAAGATTATGTTGCTTTGTAGCAGGAGTGGCACAACCCCCTGCTAGAGGAACTATGACATAATTTTTATATATACATTTAGTTTTAATATTGTTATTATATCATCTCAAATGAGATGGGGTTGGGGGTCCATCATCGATGGATGGTCACATCACGTGACCCAGTATTACTTTTTGCATTGCAACATTTTTAATATGAAAATAGTGTCACATACAGTATATCGACATTGATGAACATAAGACTATCACATTACTGTTTAACCAACGTGTTTTTTGTACCACTTAACTAACTCTGACTATTGGTACACGTATTTTTTTAGATGAATTTGAATTTCGACAATATGAGTGACGGGGTGTGATGATTTAGTTGTTAATTGAGATGAATTTATAATATTAATAGTAGATCTTATCCTTTCCTACATAGATAAGAATAATGAGACCAAACTGCGAAGCAACTTACTGAAGATTATAAGTAATTTTCTTACCAATAATGAATACAGGGTAGATACTACAGTGACAATGTTTACAAAATTCGCACTTTCCGTCGGGAGCAATACTTTCGACAATAGATTACAACGATATAGACCGTCATATACCAAGTCGATACTAAAAATTTTAATTTCGCTTCCTATTGGTTTTAATTCTCTATTAGTTTGGCAATCAAAACATTAGCAAAGTTATAATAGAGATAGATAACTTACCACAAATTAATATACCATACGTTTCCAGGCCAGCCACATAACCGTAAATATTAATAATAAAATCTAAGGACCCTTTCATTAATTCTGCCAATTTAATGGTACACTTATTTATGGTATTAGGGCAATGCGGCGGCTTTATCTCACCGAATACGAACTCTCTCTCAGTGTCATCAATCTTTGAAAGGATCCGGAAGTCTGACTTTCTACCATGGTTATGACCATCCAATAAACGTCTCTCTTTGGGACTTTTGGATTCTCCATTAGCCCTTTATTTCAATAATGAAATTAAGCATATATATCTAGTATAATGTAATGATTGCATGAGACTTACCAAACTAATGAGAGTTCGATTTTATTGAATATTTCTTCCAGTATTTGATGACAGTATCGATGGATGAACGTATCTTCATCCAATTTTTTATCCTCATCATAACTCACCGAAGACAAATAGGTAAAACTGCGAGACAAAAAAATGAGTATTTATAATACCTTTTTATTAAATTTAGTTAGAACTTACAAATTTCTCGAAACTATCTGCACACAGTCAAAGATGTCTTTGTCTTCGTCTGTTAATAATGTATTTCCTTTTGCCCAATTGTTACGCCATTTAGTATTGAGTAATTGTTTGTCATTCAAAAGTTAGAAAACGAAAATAAACAAATTAATATATTTGCTGGTCGCTTATAATAATATCAAGGAAGATATTTACCCTGCTGTATTCGATTATTGCTAAGTCAGCAACTGTCGGCAACCCCTTCGGAATTAATGATCTTGGACGAGCTTCATTCCATGCCTTTTCGGAACATTCAACATATTTTGGTTTACGTTCATCGCAATACATAATCGATGATAGGCATCTAAAAATATATCCAAAATTAAATGCTATATCCAAAATTCTACAACTTTGCAAAGAGAAGTACTTACAATATCAAATCAATTTCTTTCACGTATGATAAAATTGGATTGGCTTCTAATTTTTCAATTGACTTTATAAAAAATTGATTTCTAAATTTTAAATTGGGTATACCTAAAAAAATAACTTTTCGAATGCAATTTTTATCAATTTTAACTGAAAATTACGAAAGTCGATAGAAATGTTGTGTCCATCCTGTGTTACCCACTATATAAAAGAGAATGGATCTTAGACTATATCAGTAATAAGTCACGAAAAGATGAATGTTTCTCAACGCTTACGTCATTCTCAGAGACATTATTTATGAACATATTATTGATTGCATGCCTCCATGATAAGACGACCTTGAACAACATGAATCAAATTAGTTAATGTCAAAATTGGGACTAGTATATTGAAAAGATTATGTTAGTGTCGATTAATACTAACTTTATATTTCGTTGAACCATCATCTTTCCTTGCGTCAAAAGGATTATCATCTTCTTTACGTGTTATCTCTACATCGGACTCGTGATCATTCATCATCTTCTTAAAAGTAATAACGCAGATTAAAAATGAGCCAATACACATCACAAAACAAACAAAATTCGTTACTGGAGAGACCTCTGCAACCTCGGCTGATTCTTCATCGTAATCATTTAAAAAATTATTCCCGTTGTAATAGGATGGAGAAGGAGAGTGATCGCGAAGGTTGGGAGGAGGTGTAGCAATAGGGGAAGCTTCTTCTGCTGAT